CAGAGCCAACTCATCTAGTTGTCACACTGTCAGCTCTTTTAAAAGGTTGCATGGATTTATAACACTGCAGGGCTTGTGGCAATCTAATTTAAGCAGGACAATAAGGCACTGTGGCATTAAATGCTTTCCAAGTTTTTATTTTGAAAGCTTCCAAAAATACTACAGGTACTATTTCATGTCATTCCTCTTTTGATAGACTCTGAGTACAATCGGGTTTTAAAGTTGATGCAAAGCAAGCCTAAAACATAGAATTGTTACTTACCTCCTTGGCATTGGCCAACTCATGAATTAAGTTGATCTGATCTTCATGTTCCACATGGACACGGAAAACCTGATCTCTAAGTGGTAAAATGAATGAATATATATTTAAATTTCAATAATGTGTCCAAATTCATTAAATTGGAGCTTTCGCCAAAGGCTAGCAAAACCCAGTTTGTAAAAGGAATTGCATACTTACCCATCAAAGTTTTCACCAGAAGGGTGAGCAAGGACCACACTCACCAGAGCCAGTAACAGCAGCATTGTGCCTGACCAGGTCTGTTGGGTGACCTGGCATCCCACCTGCTTTTATAAGCCAGAGTGTTCCTTTCTTCTCTTACAAAAAGGCACTATCAGATCTTGATTAATAATTTTCCTGGCACTGACACCTTGGTAGCTATGTGCAGTCTGAGTCGTTATCTTTCTTTCTTAACACCTGTGGAAATGGCAAATAATCTCACGTTCAATTGATTTAATTTGCACCTTAAACCTTGAATAGTCTGGAGGAAAATAAGTTTTAAATAAAGTCTATGTTGTAGTCTTTTCACTTTCATTCTGAACTGAGAGTAACATAGACTAAGTTGTCTAGGTTTAAGTGCAATGTTTAATGAGTTTTGGCAAGAGTATATTCCCGTGTAGTTAACATCTCAAAGTAAGCAGGGGGCACCTCTCTGCCCAGGAAGCACTGCTGAGCGCCTGTTCATTTATCTCTATACTTCCTTCAAGCAAACACTGCAGTTTCTAGCTTTCTATGAAATTCACCCATTGAAACTTCAAGTAAATGAGATTGCATTTACTATATACATTCTTTGAATATAACTCATTTCATGCTTTTGAGATCAGTAATTTTTTGTTTATATTGCTTTATTCCTATTTGCAAGTACTACTTCATTGTATGAGTGTACCCATAAAATGGGTACCAGCTGTTTTCCAGTTGGCAAATATTTATATTGCTTGGAGTTTTGTGTTTTTATAAATAAAGCATCAATAAATATTTTTGCACAAGGCTTTTTGTCGGCGTATACTTTTTATTTGGGTAGCATGTAAAGATCTGAGTGGAACTGATAAACAATAATTTAGATGGAGGTTTAGCATTCGGACACTCTACCAAACATTTCCAATCGTGTTTGCATGATTTTAAGCTTTGGCCAGTTAATCTAAATTCTCTACAACATTTGTAATCTTTCATTTTGGTAATTGTAGTAGGTGTGAAGTGGCTTATAAATGATTTCAGTGTGCATTCTCCCAATGCTTAAAAACGTTTAATACATTTTCATGTGTTTATTGACCTCTGTAAGTCTTCTTTTGTGAAGAAGAATCTACTAAACTGTCATCTTTTAAAAGAAATTCGTTGCTTTTTTCTTCACTTTTTATAGCACTTCCTTTATTTATTATTTTCATATTTTTTATGTGCATGTAAGTGCCTCTGTGCTGTGCAGTGCCTGCGGAGGTCAGAAGAGAGCTTCAGATTCCCTGGGCTTATGCATGGTTGTTAGCTGCCATGTGGGTCCTGGGGATCAAACCTGTGTCCTCTGAAGTGCAGCCAGTGTTCTTAACTAGCTGAGCCACCTCTCTAGCCTCTGTAGTACTTCTTTATAATTTGAATATTTGTTCTTTTAACAAATTGTGTGTGTGTGTGTGTGTGTGTGTGTTGGCATGTGTACGCCACAGTGCACGCGTAGAGGACAGAGGACAATTTTCATGAGTCTCTTCTCCCTTTCCACTGTGGTTTCTGGGGATCAGGCTGAGGTCATTACACTTGCATAAGGAGCAAGTGCTTTTACCTGCTGGCCCATCTTGTTGGCCCTGAATACTGTTTTTGTTAGAAATCTATATTGTAAATATTTCTTTCTATGTACATAGTTTGCGTTTTCATTTTCTGAATGTTGTCTCTGATGAGTATGAATTTTAAGTTTTCTTACAATTTCATTTCGTGCCTGCCCTTTTGTTTTCATAATTAGTACCTGAATTTTTTTTTCCCCAAGATAAGCTATTGCCCATCTCAGGGTTTCAAACACATTCATCTGTTTTCTGATAGAAACTTTATAGTTTTTGGTTTTTATGTATGGTATAATAAACTAATATTTAAAAAATATGGATATCCAGTAGATCCAGTTTCTTTTCTCATTGAATTACAATTGAGGTTTTTTTTTTTCAAAATTTCTTCAGCATTCAACTGTGAAGCCATTTCTGGACTTTCTGTTTTGCTCCATTTACCTACTGGTCTAATTTTAGACACTACACAGTGTCTTGATTACTACTTTTTAAGTGTGCCTTAAAACCAGACAATATATGAATCCAGCATGTTTGTTCTTTTCTAACATTGCTTTAGTTGTCCAAAGTAGTTTATATTTACATATATATATATTAGTATCAGTTTGTCTATCTTCAGAAAAACCTTACTTTCACTGGGACGTACATAAGGTTTACAGACCAATTTGGAGAGAAATTATATCTACAATATTGAGTCTTTCATCTCATAAGCACAACATTTACCAACATTAGTTGAAAGTTTATCAAAACTTGAGTCTGAGATATTTTTTCTATCTAAAAGATAGCAAGTTGCCCAGCTTAGTCTCAAAAATGTTGGCAGGAGACAGGAAACTCAAGTCAGAAGCAAAGGACTTATTACTCATGACACAGCTGATTACCCGTGACACAGCAAGCAGCACAATCTTTGCGTCGCTATCAATTCTATTACTTTCTAGTCCCTTGGGGAATGATGTGCAGGTGGGCCCAAGTGAATACTGTGCGCATTAGATTGTATAACACCCCAGGAACACTGAGTTTAAAAAACTGTCTCATGAGGAAGATGCTAGAAAATTTGAACAAGCTTGTGCAAAAGGAGATACAGTTTTCTCATCCTGGATAGCAAAAAGCCCTTTTCTTTTAGCTGGAGGGAGGGCAAGGAAGGTAAGCAATGTCTCCATCTCCTGCTGTGCAAATGCCCTTAAATAGACAATTCGGAATAAAGCTGTCCCCCGAAATGCAGTCACAGTCAGACATACAGCGAATTGGCTCTCAGCAATACCTGCTACTTTCCATACCTTCTGTCTAATGAATATTCCCATTAATATACTGCTTGGTTAATCACTATGATTAATCTGACTGACAAGTGTGAATAAATCCTTTCAATTTGTCTAATATGGCGTTAACTTAAGATGAATGTCGATAGGAATTTAACTTTCATGCAGTCTCTGGATATAAGATTTTCAGTACAGTGCTGGACAGCCTCACTTGTCCACTAGACACACCTGGGAACAGGGAATATCAACTGGGGCATTTCGTATGGGACTGACCTATGGCCATGTCTGTGAGGCATTTTCGTGATTGTTGAGTGATGTAGGATAGTGAGTTGGTAAGTGGTGTTCCTCTGTGGTTTGTGGTCATTTCCTGTCTCCAGGTTTCTGGCTTCCCTCAGTGATGGACTGTGAGCTTGAAGATGAAATAAACACCTTTCTCCCCAAGTTGCTTTAGGTCAGTGTTTTACCACAGCAACAGAAACCTAACTAGAACAATTTCTGACCACTCTGCTTTCCTTTGCTTTCTGGGTGCAACAAGATCTATTAAGGATTGCACAAACTCTCACAGCCTGTAAGAGGGAAGCCTAGGTCAATTCTATGGTCCATAACAACCTTGCCCAGTGAGTAGGCACTGATCTCAGTGTCTTCCAGGGCCAATATATTCAATGCATTTTGTGTGTAAATGATTTAGGATCCAATCCAGGGTGACATTTAATTGTTGTTTGTTTCTTTTACCTGGACCAGAACGCCAACATTTATCTTTAAAAAGTTGGTATTTTTGAAGAGTACAAGTCAGTTGTCCTTTATTTTGATTTGTTTCCTTATTTCTAATGATTTCATTAAGAAACTAAAAACAGTTAAATCCCAATTACATAGCATCCTGAATATAAGAATTTAAATAATCCACGTAACTATATCGACACACCTGAGTAATAAGTTGAAAATGCTACTTTTTGACTTTGACAAGTCTCCTCATTTTGCAGGTGTTATTATTCTTTTCCATGGTCTCTTTATACTGTTTGTTTTCATGTATGCATATTGCTTATTAGATTTGTATTTGGGTGGAATATTCCTGGATGTTTTCCTCCCACTAGGATTGAAAGCACCATGAGATAATAAATTGGGTCTTATTAAATTGCCTCTTATTCATGTGTTTTGGA